CGACCAGTCAGCACGCCTCGATGCGAAATTGAAAATGTTATCACGGGGAAAATTGACGAGCACATCGATTACTTCACAGAAAAGGTAGTCTTTTGCGGAACATGCTTTCAGCTAAGTTCGGTGTTCTTTTTTTAAGTTGTGCGGCTGCTACTCGTCCGACACACCCACACATTCCGGGCATTCCTCGTCATCCCAAGCGTAACTGTGCCAATATGGGCCCGGCCAGCGTACTACCCATAAATGCCAGTTCACCCTGCCCTTGGCATGCCATTTGCTGGTTGTGATTTTCAAATAAATTCAAAACGTTTACTTGATGACATCTAGATGGCATTTCGCGGCTTTGAACTTGCAGCTACAGTTGCGGTATTTGAAAAGTGATTGTTGGTACCCAACTGCATGCAGATTTTTAAATCCACGAGTTTACTCTTCCGCCCTGTGGCATGAAAGTTGAAATCCCAATCCAATACTTTCAGTCATGTACATGCAATTTGGTGGGTTTTCCACCGTGAAGGCCTCTAATCTCTGCACGACTTTCGTGCTGGATGGTAACGTGTGAAGCAAGCCGGTGCATTTAGATGCCTTCAAGGGTGTGTTCCACATTTGTGTGGAGTTTGAACTGAAACAGCCATTTGGAAGATCATTCGGTGCAGTTCGCAGTCCTGCCCTTCTTAAAGCCTAAACATCTAGTTTTTAGCTACACTGTCGCAAAGATGTGTAGATTATTTTGGATAGACTATTTCAAGGCCACCCTGGCATTCGTGACGCCACAATAACGCAAATTCAAATCCTGACATTCCATTAGCCATGCAGCGATCAATGCCAATAAAACACCATTGTCGAGCTGTTCATATCTGGCGTTAGTGAGCACGATTTCCAGGGATAACGGCCGTCAATTTACTCCCAATCCATGCTGTGCAAGGTAAGGTGACGTAATCAAACCATGAGGCGTTGAGGAGCATATTCACTAAACATAGAAATTGTGTTGTCTAAAGCAGTCCTTTCCACTTAGTATTATCCCAACAGCTATAAGTAAGCTTACTTCATCACCACGTCTGATGTTTGCTTCAATATCTTCAAATGTGGAACATTCCCCTTCATCCACCCAAACCACAATTAGTCAAGATTTGATGTGTCTCTGTCAAGCATTTCTAGCTCACGGTTTTTGTTCACCACATTTCGGTTTCTGCGTGTACAAGTCACGCTATGAGAAACGAGTACCCATTTCAACTTTGTGGGTGCCAGGTAACGTTGGGTGCCACCATGTCAACTCTGGGGATGCCACGGGTAAAAACACTCTTGGTTGCACTTCAAATGCTTGGGTGCGCACAAACACGTGGTGCCTACTTCCATACTCATACGCCGGAACCATGCTGCTCAGCGGGGTGTTAGGTGGAGGCCGTACAGCTCTATGTATTATATTTTCCGAAAGTTGTGAGTCCCAGGCCAGGCCAGGCCCGGTTCCTGTGCCCCATGCCTCGTGATGGTGCAGCGCATGACACATGAGGTATTTGCGTAGGAATATCAGTTGTGAGAACACCAGTTATTGAGGGCATGATTTCTCACCCACTATTATTCAAGTGTGCGTGTAAAATGCATTTCGGTTAAAGCTGGTTACGTGAAGAGGTGTGAGGGTACTTTGGACCCCGATCTGACGCTTGACCTTGTTTGACCTTATTTGACCTGAATGTCACAACCTATAGACATAAATTTGTAAAAGTATAATGTGATATAAATCTCTACCTACCATGTTAATCTAGTGACTTTAACTATCATTGTTTTAGACCTCAGGGGGTGAAATCCGCCCCCCCCCCCCCCCCCACCTGAGTGCGTCGCATTCAGATGGTCAGCTGGGCACGTGTTGAGGTTTATTGAAACCTGTGTATGCCTGAATTCTATGGTAAATTCACGTATATTCGTCTATTACACCTTATGTGCCATTTGACATTGCATATTGTGTTTTGGGCTCCCCTATTTTTTGGGTGGCTTTGCTTGGTTACTGTAACTTTTTAGAAGAGCTGTTTCCAAGATTTGGGGGCTGGATATCAAGGTGAGGTTTCATTTACAAGTCGGATGCTCGAGCTAATACTCAAGCTTCCCCTTCCCCTCCCTCGATCTCTGTACGGAATCTTAAGTCCCTGGTGTATGTTCACTGATAACTAATGCCAGCAGTTTCCTGCAGAATATTTTTGCGACCGTCTCGAGACATTCTCTCTTTGTTGATATCAAGTGACGTCACTTTAGATAATGACAGGCCCAAAGAACCGGAGTCAGAAAGAATCGCGTTTGCTCACAACTCGTTTCCTCAGAAGTTCAATCGTCAGATATATACGACGTGGACCACAATACACTGAATTGGTTTATCCAAGTCAGGAAAGAGCTCAGCTCGCTTGTGAAGAACGAGTGCCGGCAGCCGCGGACGGAACATCGGGGCTGATTGGTTCCCAGCTTCGGCGCCGGAAGCGCCACCGCGACCCCCGCTCCGCCGTCTGACGGCCAACGGCCGGCGGCTGTCGCTGGCCGGCCGGCCACCTCGCTTCCGGCCGGCCGCCATTGACGCGCGTTTTCGAGACTGTCCGGCCGCCGCACGCCAGGCGGTACACCCTATCTGCCGGCGCCGTGCCTTCCCCGTGTCAAATAGGTTGCGAGTGCCGTCGGGCCGTACGCCGGCGGGCCGGCCACCAGTCGGCTGCGGGCCAGCGCGGGGAGTGGGGACGCCGCGCGCGCACGCACGCGGGCTGGGCGAGCCGCGTTCGTCGCGGCGCCACGCGTGCCAAGTGCTGGTTCTGGTGCTCGGTGACGGGCTGGTGGTGCGCCGCGGCCGCTGACGAGCACGTGCCGCGCCACGATGGTGTCGCTCGACCAGGGCGCCAAGGTGGACAAGACGGCCGGCGAGCAGGCGACCGAGTCGCTGGTGAGAAGCGAGGCGAAGGCGGCGGCAGCGGCGGAAGGCGGTGAGACGGGCGAGGGCCCGGTCGAGCAGCCGGCCGACTTCGACGACTTCGTGATGCCGGTGGCGGGCAAGTCGCGGCTGGTGCGCGGCCGCGCCTGGAAGAGCACCGCCTCCGCCGAGTACGTGCGCTACAAGTGCTTCGACGACGGCCTGGAGTACCTGCCGGGAGGTGAGGCCACTGGCAGGTGTGCGCGGCCAATGCCCGAGGTGGCCCGGTCTCTCCGGAGAGGTCGCACCGCTGCTGGGTCGACCAGGGCCACGCGAGCGGCGTCCGGTGCGCCGTTCGACCCGCTGTAACATCCACTCGATTCGGGACCTGGATTCTCGCGCAGTGACAAATCACCACTTCGGCGCCGACATGCAGAGTCCGCGCTTCGCGTTCGCCGCGGTTTCACCAGCTCGACAAAGATCCACTTGGGTTAAAACGGAACCCACTTTTTGTCGGAAACGAATCTTTTTACGGCTGGCGGGCTGCAGCCAGACGTAATCACAACGCTTTCGAGCGCTCATTACGAGCCGTTACCGGGTACTGAAGCACCCTGCGCGCATTAACCGCCATGCATCCTTGTCATTGTCCGGTGCGGGCGGCGGAGCGGTGCGGCGGCGGGCGGCGCTGCCACCTGAGCCGAATGAAGCCACCGGCCGGGGACCCGGCCCGGCCGTCGGGCCGCCCGCGCTGGCCGACGGCACCCGCTCCAGGCCGCGCGCAGACGGCACCGGCGCGACCGGCAACCCCAGGCGTCACTCGGTGATGGCGAGCAGCGGGTAGGCGGCTGAAGGCTGCCCGTGCTCCTCCCCCAGAAATCACGCACCTTCATCATCGTCATTCCATCACGCTCGTGCGGCTCTCCCTAGAGCGGGTGGCGCCTCCAGCGCGTCACAGGCCTAACATGCGGAATGAACGGAACTGTTTGGGCGTCGGCTTTCCTCGGCATTGTTGCGTCACTGTTGTTTAGCCGCAGCTCACTGGAAGCCGAGCGGCCCAATGGCTGCCTCTCATGCCCCCTGTGACGTCACAGGCACGAGGCCTGCCGTGCCGATTGCCATAGATTGAGCCGCCAGTGTTCGGTGCAGGAACGACAGCAGAGTGCAGAGGGCACAGGCCCAGCTGGCGCCTGCCGGAAGGCGGCAGCGGAGCTCCGCCATCCTCTGCCATGGGTGGAGGATGTGGTACGACCGATGCCACAGCCGTAACACCAACCTCCGCAAAATCGGCAGGACTTTGGCGTTTTCCCGTTAGGACTGCTGATTCCTGCAGCTTTGCCACACCAGCTTTCTTTGGTATTCTCCATCCGCGTCCTCGTCCTGCTCAGTTACGCCCACCTATGCCTTGGCTACCCTGTTCCTGGGATGCAGTTTGTCTTCTGGTTCGCGTGATGTGTCCGCATTTCGGCACCGCTCCCCTGTTTGCTTGTTGTATGAATGTGGCGCCGCTTGTCTTGGCTCCAACCCCATGCTTGCTTACGTTTGCATGCTTTGTGCCGCAGCGCCCTTCTTTTCCGCCGTAGGTTTATCATTCGTCATCTACATCCACATTTTCTGCCTCGGTTTTCCATGCTCCCCTTATCCTGTTATCTATCAAAAGCTGCTCGCATTTCTCACCACAGTATTTCCTGTTTGTATCCGTCAGCACCCTAGGTACTCTCATTTTTCAATAGGATATCACAAAAGCTGAATCTCCACCCAACATCAACCGTGGTGCATTGAGTTCGGGGCAAAGGCCTGCTACGGTCAGGCCTGAAGCAATGCATCGTTATCCACCACCACCATGACGTCTCGGAAATGGTGAAACCCGTTTGTTCAACAATACTAGATGGGCGTGGGGATACCGAGGGGGAGGGGGTCATCCACTTTTCGTAGTGCCAGGCGTATGCATGCATGAGAATAACGGGCTCAAAAAGTGAACGCGTCGCTTCAATCATCAGCTTTTGAACACCCCTGCCTACACCTCGAATGCATCATCATCATAAATGCATCAGTGGCCAGGCCAGTCGGGTGCGATGAACGGAAACATTCTTTGTTATACGTTAGGTGCGCGCACGCTAGGTAACTATTCCAGAATGTCCTTGTCCTTCTGAGGCCGAGCGCGACCGTGAGCGGCTCACGGCTGGCTCGCCGACCGGCAGGTGTGACGTCACGCACAGCGTCAGCTGTCGCCTTCCCCCGCCCCCCGCCTCCCGCTCGTCGCACCGGCGGCTCCCCCATCTCGCGACAAAAGCGGGGGGGGGGGGGGGGGTCGGCGTCGGACGCCGGCAGCGAGGGGAGACGGTCGCGGGGATCTGATCTGGCTGCGGTGTCGGCCAGATTGATCGGACGTTCTGCCGGCGCCGACACCGCGGCCGCGCTGCCGCGACCGCCGGCGGCGCTCACGGCACGCGCACGCACGCCAACCAGCCATTGACGCGCCCTGCTCGCCAGAATGGCGCCTCCCGGGGGCATCGCACGCCGCGGCCTCAGTGGTCATTGCAGTGCCACAGCGATACGGGACGACGGTTAGCACACTCTGCAGGGACTAGGATCGTTGATAACAGACGTGCAGGGATGAGGAGGGTTGAATTGCAGGGCTGCAAGGCTAGGCTGCAATACTTTGCTCAGGATTTCACATGGATTTATATTATATTATTTGACATGAGGCATTGGATTGGGGGTTAAGCTAGGGGTGCCGGTAGTGTAGTGGTTCACGCGTCTGCGCTAACCACTGCTTGTCTGGGAAACCAGAGGTACGGGGTTCGATTCCCCGTGGTGCCCGCCCTTCCTGCCAGAGTGAGAGGCCGGCGACGCCATGTAGCCTCAGCAGTTGAGTGCGTCATAAAGCCCCAATGACACACACACACGGGGGTTAAGCTACATACTGTGGTGGTTTTGAAAGTCATTCCTGGCTGTAATCTCTTATATGCACAACCTCTTCCTTTACGGGAACTTTCCACGTATTTTTCGCGATTGGAGTGGCGGGGTATGTAACCCTGGTTGTTCAGCCACTCGGTTGAACGATCGTCCAAGGTAAAACACTTGTTTTACACGTCGATCGATGCTGAGGACCCAGAATGCCTGATAGCTACATCTAGTTAATCTTAATCGATGCCCGCCCAATCAACTTTTGTTGTCCTGTCCAGACACGTCACGAATAATGAGTCGGCGGCCGGTGCCAGCATCACCATTGGTATTCACTCATTATACCATAGAGTGGTCGAACATTCAGTAGCAACTAGCTTTCGGCGGATTGGGATGGCCGAAGGGCACTGCGAAGGTATGCGAAGAGCCTTGGCTAAACGGAAGGGAATTCCGCCTTGTACCTGAAGAGCGCGACTTAGGAACTGGGAGGTGACTTTAAAAAACAATGTTTTTGTCTTTTTTAAGGTAGCATAACAAAGCAGAACATAACGACACGAACATCGCCTATTAGAAATCATGTAAACGTTTTTCACATCGGATGAAAACCTGATTTATGTTACCACGTCTCTCACTGCACTGGTGGCTGAGTTTTAGAGATTTTCACGAACTTGCGGTGTCTTTGGTTAAATGTGCAGGGGCTGACATATACACCGCAGGTGGGGGCGCTGCCAAATGAGATACAAACCTCCACTTATGTCAGGTCCTCTCAGCTGATCTCAGAGGTTTTGTCTCATGCACGTTCCAGCGGGGTGCCCCAGCACACCCGGTCGGCGCTCAGCGTCTGCGATGTGTCACGAGGCCTCGCTCGCCTCCTGCTGACTCGGCGGCGACGGCAGCCCGTCTGTTTGCCGAGACGCTCTCACCCCGGACCGCAGCGGCCGGCGCAGCGTCCAGTCGTCACAGCGCCGGCCGCTGACGCCGCGTCCGACGACGGCCGCCCCTCGCCAGACCGAGACCGAGCGGCGGCCCGGGCCGGCTCTCTCACCGGTGCTCACACCTCACACATCACCGGCACTCACCGGTGATGTGTGAGGTGCCTGGTCGGCCGGCGTTGGCAGTCGGCGTCGGCTGTCGGCTCCGCGCCGCTGCAGTCGGCGAGAAAGCCGCCCGCCGGAAGCGACTCCAACAAAATAATGGCGGCCAGATTTCCGGTACGACCGCGAGGTCATTCACTCGAGCGGGCGAGCGGCGCGGCGCCGGCCGGGCCACGGCGCCGCCTGTTTATGGACCGGCCTGCTGAACGGGCTCCGGCCGAGCCGAGGCGGACCGCGCACAGGCCCTGCTGGCTAATGAGCAGCGTCTCGCCGAGGGAGGGGTGTCCGAGGCCGTATACCACGCAGAACACCCCGGTCCGAACAATGGGGCACAGCGGCTATCTAGCTGCGGAGATCGAAGAGAAGTCTCGTGTTTTCAGGACTTGACCTGCGGTGGTAAAAGCGGACCGGTGGAGGTTCTTACGCGTGACAGCACGCGGTGTCTCACGAAATGGTATTTGAGTAACAAACTACCGTACCGTACTAGTAACAAACTACCGTACTACCGAGTAACAACAACTACCGTTTAGTGCTGCTGGTTGACGCCTGCTGTTTCTACGTGCACGAGAACGATCCGTATCACTGGCTACACGTCAGCGCCGGCCCGGGAACGGAGAATGGTCGGCTGTTGCAAAAGTGTCTAGTCGGCAGTGTTAAAGGTGCATTACGTCACGCCAGATTGTCGGATATTGAAATATGACGAGCCGCATGGACTGGCCTTGAAAAACGTGGTTCCGAATGCGAATTTATATCACCAGCATGGGTGACAAGTAGGCGAGCCGATCTCTGTAATATCTCCCCGCCCCGCCCCTCCTCCGACCACGATGGTGGTACGCCATTCCGTTGGTCCCGTCACGTGGCGCATAACATGATCGGCCTCCAGAGGGGCAAGCTCCATATTCAGCTGATCATAATCGAGTGAGAGAGAATGAGGGGGGGGGGGGGGTCGTGACGTAGACAAGCTGCGGCAAAGATGTGAAATTCCTCATCGGGATTATATGCATGCGGCCACCGAGAACATAAGAACACCTTTCCGTCTCGAGACTGGTTCAGTCGCTGGGCTCCCGCTACTGGGAATATCGGGGAGAAGCATCTGTGGTTATCGCTGGAGGGGGGAGGGGGGCGGGGGGGCAGTTGTCTGGGGCTACGGGCGGCCCTGGCGGCGCTGCTGTAGAATCTGGAGAGGTGGCGGGACGCTGCGACAGAGCAGTGCTGGCGACAACTGCGCAGAGAGTGGCACGCTAAGCAGGAACACCGCCTGTCTAGGATGGCACCCTTGAACCGGTGAACATCAGTCGTCAAGCCTCTGGTGACAGGCACGGCACGAACTCCCGCGGAAGCCCCCTCCCCTGCACGTCTGCTCTGCAAATTCAGTGAGAAGAAGCAATGCTTGTGTCGTGGATCTCCATAGTGTCCCTGCTTGCACCCTCCCGGACCCTGCAGATTGTTACAGCAGAGGCAAGAGACAGGCAACGCGCGACACAGCGATATTCTCAGCGGTCTCTGCGGACCTTAGACTCCATTCGCGATGCCAGCTCTCATCACTGACGCATTGCGCGAGCAGCCAATCGGCAAAGCTGCATCAACGAGATAAATCGTCTGATGGACGTAAGGACATCGTTAGAGGTCTCCTTCCTCCGCCCTCCTCCCGAACTCTGCCTCTGAAACGCTGACGCGCCAGCAGCTCCCGCATCTGGTGGAGCGACGGCATGGCTGAAGAGTGCCGTGTGAGCTCCGTGAGCACGTGCCTCCGACACGTGAACACAGCTGTGGCGCCCCTCCTCTCGCCCTCGCTCAGCCCCAGCTCTCTGACGATTCCCAGCGTGCCATTTGAGCGGCGAGCCGTCGGCGCCGCTGTTGACGCCGCTGCCGCTGCCGGACGGCGTCGCTGTCGCTGCCGGACGGCGGCACGTACTCCTGCCGTCGCTCCTGCCACGCTCGGCAGACGTCGCCCCGATCGGTCGATAGGGCCGGTTTCTCCGGCTGTTTGGCTCGCGCCAGCCAGCTGGTGCCACTCTCCGGCGCGATTGGCACGATCTCGCCGTCGAGAGGATAGCCACCGCGACGGGACCTGAGTGCCGTCGGCGCTATGTAAGGACTTAGTCCGAAGTGAGCTATAGCGCTGTTCATCCGGGTCTGACTCCTCAACGGACTCCCAGCGGCCGCTTGGGATCAGTGCTCGTGATACCCGGCAGCGCTCAGCCCTCAACGTGCACGGGACTGGCGCCAGGGCCGCGGAGTACAAATGGCTCCGGGACATAGTGCAGCACCAAACAATCCCGGTCGGCCCTGGGCGGCGAGCAAACACGGCACCACACCGGCCCTGGGTGGCAAGCAGACATGGCACCACTCCGGCCCTGGGCGGCGAGCAGACACGGCACCACCGGCCCTGGGCGGCGAGCAGACACGGCACCACCCGGCCTGGGCGATCAGCACGCATTGTATCACTCCGGCCGGTATGTTGGTGACGGCGACGGAATAGCGTCACCATCGCCGGGTCTCGTAAGCAAGAATAAGTGAGTGTGATGACCGCCCATAATTCCTACGTCAGCGATGACGTCAGGGCGTCACACCGCCAGTTGTCACAGCCAACGCGCTACCGTCACCAGCTGTGACGTCCGTCAGGCCGCCGTCGCCAGCAGCGACAGCTGTGTCTGTCCGAGGCAGTAGGTCAACGCCGTTTTCATCCCAGTTAGCCTTTGTGCAGAAACTCTAGTAGGGAAATGCTGCTAGCACTACTATTTTCCCGAAAATGCAGCCGATATTCTTATAAGCCAAGAGTTCGTCCCACGACAGTGCCCGAAGTAATTACTGCTAATACCGCTCCCCTAGAATTGAGAACGTAGAACAGGCTTAGTGATACAGGTCACGAAAACAGAACGTCGGTTGAACATGCCGTCTGGATTGCGGACTGGCCCCATCGGCTCGCTGCTTATTTTGGCCATCAAAACTGAAGCCAGCAGCTGATTGTCATTCCATCCACAAACAGCTCAGACCAACCGTTCCCTGCCGAACCGTACGTTTGTCACCGCTTTCGCCGCGAAAAGTACCGAGCGAACCGTGCTGCGCACCCCGACGCTGACGTCATCTCGGGTTGTGGGGACCGGAGCAGGGTCGGGGCGAACGTGGCAAGATTCTGGCCAACAGG